TTATTTTCCTTGTCTGCTGTTATTTGAAGTATTTAGTACAACTGCAGATCTCTATATGTATATGTATATCTATATATATATATATTTTATTACTTGGGAAAATTAAATTTTAAAATGTTATTACTAGGTCAGTATCCTCCTAGGATTGCATGTTAGCACCGTAGGCCTGACTACAGTGAGTGTGTCCTGGCAAGGATGGTGTAAACTGGCCAGACTGACTCATTGAGCAGAGATTCACCAGACTGTGATTCCAAAATCTCTTCTATTGCTGATATATACATACAGGACACAGAGAAAGTGGCTCACAATGCAAATATCAACTTAAATTTTAATATTCTATGTGAAAACTTATATTGGGAAATATGAAAGACAATTGACTATTCCAAATTTTACCTTATTTTAATATCTAAATATTGGATATGTAAATTGTACTATAAAATATTTATCTGATATATGAATTACTGAGGTATTCTGTTAATACTATATATAAATATTCAAAGTATTTTTTCAACATAGAAAAACAATAACCCTCTAAAAATACAGCCAGGTAGAATTTCCCATATTGAGGAACTTAGCTTTTCAATCAGCTTCAGAATCTGAAGTTTGTGGAATCTAAAATGCAGAAATCAGATAATAATAAATTGACTGTTTAAATACCATGAGTATTAAATTGACTTTTAAAAATATATTTTTAGCCACATTATTTCTAGTATCTTTTTCTTTGGGTAATTTCTGGTAAGGAAAAAGCATCCTTTGGCTGTTAGAATTATTTATAGATTTTTCAATATGTATGTGTACATATTTGCATAGATTGCCATTAATGAAGGAAGTTTCTAGTCAGTTTTAAAGAAGTAAAATGGATGGTCCTAAATTGGATGTGTAAAGCCAATAGAGTTCATGACACTCTGAAACATCTTGGAGTTCTGAGACTTAGATCAACCACAGAAAAACTACCTTTTGATCTCATGCCATTAGTGAATAGCACCAAGCTGAAACATTTCACAGCTTTTCTACTCTGACAATAATGGAGTTTAAAAATGCAAAACATTAGTTCAATTAGTTTGACACTGAACTTGCTTACTTGAAAAATCTGGTGCTATACAAATATCTGCCTTCCTTTCATTGTTGTTTTTGTTTGTTTGCTTATTTGTTTGTTTGTTACTGGGATTGAACTCGGGCACTTTACCGCTGAGCCACATTCCTAGCCCTTTTTTATTTTTTATTTTGAGACAGGGCCTGGCTAAGTTGCTTATGGTCTCATTAAATTGCTGAGCCTGACCTCAAATTTTCGATCCTCTTGCTTCAGCCTCTCAGATTGCTGGGATTATAATGGGATTACAGACGTGTGCCATAATGCCCAGTTGCCTCTCCTTTGTAAATACCATTCCAGTTTTATTCTTCTTTACTATTTAAATCTAAGCTTCACATTCTGTGTGAGTCTTTTGGTTCTTTAAATCATTTGAAAGTTGTCAACTGACATAGATGTTTGATAGAGGAGGCTTTGGCATTGGTAGTAAATATCTCTCCAAACAGGATTCTGAGGTTCATTCTCTTCTGGTTTTTGTTGTTTTTATTCTCTTCCAAGAACATTTGCACTGTTGTTTACTTAATACCAACAATATGAAGGAATCATAGTTTATAAATTTCAAATATCTTGACAGAAAGGAGCGAGACAGAACCCATTCTTGATAGTTTACTCATTTGGAAAAGTGAATATAATTTTTATCTCCTCCCCCCCCACTCTGATTTTGTTTCTACTTTTAGATAAATTTGTATCTCCCCTACTTTTAATCCCTAGGGATTATTATTGCAGAAAGACAGTTTTTAAAAATAAAACCTAAAACATAAACAGAAAATGGTAAACCCTGCTCAAAAGAATATTAAAATAGGGATCATCCTTTAAAATAACTCTGTACAAAGGTTTTTCGGTTTTCTGTTTGACCATACATTTTAGGGAATCCTGGCCAATCATGTTGGACAGAGATGCCCTTTTACTATGTTCTCTCTTATTTTCTTATACTTAGTTTTGTTTATATGTTTAAATTGTGGAAAATAAACCATGCTTTGTGCTTGTATAATCTGTTTATTACCTCCTCTCATTATGTTTGAATGTCACACATTTGTATTTTATATTGTATTTTAGATCTTCAAATTTTTCCTTCTCTTGCCACACAGGGAATTATGCAGCTGTACATCTTGATTTATCCTTATTCAGACTTTTCTGGAATTTTTTTCTTTAAAGCCCTAAAACTGCCAGCTTACTTTGTTATAAGATTTTCTAATCTGTTTCCCCATTTTCATATGTAGAAAATAATCCTGGAAAATGTAGATTAAACGTTTAGGCAATGCATACTTATTTTTACTTTATGCTGATGATTATTATTACACTTTAGTGCAACTAACAAATGTTGGCTGAGTCTATATAGAAATTTTGTGGAAAGAAAACATTTATTTGGTAGTATCCAGTAAGTACTTCAGCTTTATTTTTATTTTTTTTTTCCACTAGAACTTAAGAGCTACTATTAGGTACTTTAAATCAGACAAAAGGGGAAAGAGCAGGCTGCCTCTTTGAGAGGGTCTTTGGCCATCATGCCAGAGTTAGTGTATTTCCTATTTTGTTAAAGCACTAGACTTTATTTCAGAATTTAGCAGCTGCATACCAAGTTACTTTAATATCCTTAGTACTTTGTACTACCTTCGTTCTCTGGCTTCAAAGAAAGCACATTTGCTGGCTAAATTATTTTTGTTTACAAAGTAGTAGTATACTAACCAACAAGGAATTTTCATCTCTGATTCCAAAAGTCTGTGTGCTTGTGCTTACACTCCTAAAAGGTAATAGACTTCTGATAAAGGTATTACTGCCTTTCCACAATTGCTATTCCTTTGGATGGCTCCCTCCTTTTGTATTTAAAATTTTCTTATCAAATGTGATACTGTAATAAAAACCATTGGAGCGACTGATAGACTTTTCCATAAATCAAGTCCTCTAGATTTTGTTTTATCACAGCAACGACCTGAAGACCAGAATGTACCTTCTGTTGTATAGACAGTCTTGGCCCAGGATATCCTGCCAGGCCCTGGTGGTACCCTGGGGATGATCAGACCTGCTTATGAGCCCTCTCTTTGCATCTTTCATAACAGCCAGTCACAGAACACATTGCAGGCTGAACCTGCAGGGCAACAAAAAAGGAATCAGAGCCAAAGGTATTTATTGGCATTTAAAGTCAATAAAAGTATAGTAACCACCTAAATACATATAATTTTCAAATATTTGGAATCAATTCCTTTTTTATTAACATACAGAATCCTAACCCATTTAATTAGAAAGAATTTCACATTTTTTGAAATCTGGCTCAAACCTGTTGCCAAGACCATCAAGTAAATGCAACTCTAAGGGGAATGAAGAAAGTCATCCATGGCACAGCCATGAGTATCTCAACTGTCTTCCAGTTGAGATATTCATGTGGGAACACTTAAGGCTTTCTAGGCTGAATGAATGACCAAAATTTGTCCCAGGTAACTATACAGATCATTTACATATCAAATGAGAGGATCATCTCAATATTTTCTTGACATTTTAAGATGGTACTTTCTTTAAAAGCATGATTTTTATTCAACTGATGATTTGTAAATGTGTGACAGAAATTTTAATTTCCAAGCATAACAAATTAATCTTTTAGAAGTTACATGAGTTTTCCATCTCCCTGGAATTTTCTTTTTCTCTTACCCGGTGAATTTCTACTCATTTGCCAAGACCCAGATTTCATCTCTTATAACTTAGTTCTGTCATAATGTGAAGTGACCAGAACTTTCTTGGTAGGCAAAGGGATGTCAGAAGTCCAGCAAACTAGGGAAAGATAATTACGTAATTGGAGTTCATTTTAATTATTAAATGGCTATCTCAGCACTTTATTGTTAAAGACCATTTCACTGTTCATCTCTCCTCATTAGGTCCGATGAAAAACATCAGATCCAGGCTGTCACCGAGGAGGTGACTTCCTTGAGGTTAGCTGGACTTGGCTATAGACACCAAATTGACACCCAGAATTTTGATATTGGGATGTCCCTTCCTATTCCTGGGCCCTCATATATGGAGATTCCACAGTGTGGCCCCATCAAGAATGAGATTAATTAATTTAAGAATATAGAATTTCGTATTCATTAGTCTTCTCTTGAGCATTCTGCTTATATGATCTTAAGACAAGGATGAGCCCATCCATGTTTGTAAAACAAAATACCACTGGGACTCATAATTTTTACTAAATTTTTAATAAAAATTACTTTCAAATCATGGGAGTCCTCAAGTAGTGAAGCAATTAATTAAATGAAGCAGCTCATCTTTAAAAAATGTAATTTTTTGAACACCTTAGCCCTCCCACACCAAAATAACTGATCTTTTTTTTTTCCACATCACATCCGTCCTGCTATCTTCTTGCTTTAGTGAATCAGTCATTCCTCCTGTTTGTAATTGAAGCCATATTTGCCATCATAAGTTAGTCACCCAAGCTCCTTTTGCTCTGATACCAGTAAGATAAAGTTATTTCTAACATGCCCCTTAACAATGCTAGTAAAAGCAGTAACCAGTGGCTTAATATACAAGCATATCAAATTCCACATAAGTCGTGTAACCACAAAATTTTTTAAAGAGTACAAGTGTCCTTTACATTAGCTACAACATGTTGTTATTGTGGCAAGCATTTCCCCATTGTAAATTGCCTTAAGATCCACTTGTGAACCACACAAGAAATCAGTCTAGCCTTACAATCCTATCTAGGTTGACACAAAAAAAAATAGCATTGCCCCACTGGATCTTTTACTTTATAAACCATATTTGGCTCTATTGACTTTGGACTCTTTAGAATTACATCCCTTGCTGGGTACGCTGGCACATGCCTATAACCCCAGCAGCTCAGAAGGCTGAGGCAGGTGGATCACAAGTTCAAAGTCAGCCTCAGCAACTTAGCAAGGCCATAAGCAACTCAGTGAGACCCTATCACTAAATAAAATACAAAAAGGAGCTGGGGATGTGACTCAGTGGAAAAGTGCCCCTGTATTCAATCCCCGGTACCTGCCCCCCCCCACGTACACAAAAAAATATTACATCCCTTTTCATTCACTAGTGACCATTGCCACTGTAAAACATGCTGGAGGGACAGAACCAGGGCAGCTGAGTATCAACCCCTCAAAGTGACTACTGATAGAGATAATTCAAATTTGGGTTTTCTAACAAGAACATATTTTTAAATAGCCCTTAAAGTAGTTTTCCTTCTCTAATCTCCACTCCTCCCAATTCAAGAGCAAATTATAAATTTTCATTTCTCAGGCTGCTTCCTGTTGTAATTTCGCTTTTCAGAAATGTAACAATAAAAACTAATGCTTTCTTTTAAAGCTAGAAAATGCTGGTGTACATTTTACTGGACTATGATGTAGAATGAGATTTGATTTCTATTATTTTTCCCCATAGCCTTAACTCCTTAAACTCAGTAACTGAACATATAATAACTACAAGCCTGATAAAACTTCGCGTCTGAACAGAAAAAGGGCACGTAGCAAACTGTAGTGTGTGCTTGGAGCAGAGCCAAGAGAGTGAGGTGTAGACCCGCATCTACATCTTTAGACCCGTGGCTCTTCAGGAATGATCAGGGAACTATGAACAAGGGACCTTTTCTTATTTCTGCTGCGCATGTCTCAACCCCAGTCCCCAGTTCTTTAATTTAGAAGACATTCTGGCTTCAGGATTCCTTCTGCAGCCTCCACAGGAGATAAGTCTTCCTGAGAAAGAGGTGGGAACTCCACTCCTCCAGAGGTGAGGTTCTTGACCCACAATGAGCTTCAAGGATAAGGCTCAGTCCCAAATCACATTCCCATCAGAGACTCCGGACTATTCAGTTCACTCTCCTCCATCATGTTCATTCTTTTATTAATATAACAAGAGGTACAACAACTTCTGGCACAATCTTATCTATGTCCATTGTGAATACAGTGACTGACTCAGATAGATACAGGACAGGATATGATTCGATCCTCTAACATCACACTGATTATCAGGAATACAAAGTAAAGAAGGAACATTGTGAAGCCCAGGATCTTGTTCATTCTCCATTTGCATAATGCAATGGAAGAGATCACAAACAGGAGCATGAGAAAAAGCAAAACAATTGCACAAAACAAGCCATTGCTGCTGACTGGCACAGGCTGCAATCCATTGATAAGACAGAAAAGCAGCCAAGGAACAGGCAAGCTGCAAGATTAAAGAAACATTGTGAATATTCTTAATGTTTATAATAATTCCATATACTTAATTAGTATTTTACAGTTTACTAAGCACGTATTTTTTTCACACATAACAAAAAAAGAAACTATGAAATAGAGTGGAAATTATTAGCCCCAATTCAAAGTGAGGAAACTAAGGCTTGGGGAAATTAAAGTGCTTGTCCAAGGATTCACAGCTAATGATTGGGAAAATCTGGATTAGAACACTGCTCTAAGTTAGAACTTTATTTTCTTTCCTGTATGCTTTCTACCTTCTATATGACTAACACAGATCAATTGAATCTCTAAATTTTTTAAAATCTTTTTTAAATTTTTTATTTAGTCGTTGATGGATCTTCATTTTATTCATATGTGGTGCTGAGAATCGAACCCAGTGCCTCAAACATGCTAGGCAAGTGCTCTACCACTGAGGCACAACCCCAGCCCCCTGACTCTCTTAAATTTTTATGACTAAAGCCTATGTCAGGATAAAGTTTCTTTAAATTCTTTAGGGGGCTCTCCTAGGCCTCTTTGCCACTGTCTGCCATCCCATTCCAATATGCACATACACCTTCAATTTATTTCTTTGTATGTATCAAACTCAGGGCTTCATGCCTGCTAGGCAAGCACTTCACAATTCAAATTAAAGGGAATCACATCCAGGCCAGGACTGAGGAAATGGAAATAACCCTCTGCTCTGATGAGGTCAGGAGGACAGGAAAGAGGATGGGAACAGGAGGAAGAAGGAGTTGCTTGTTTATACAAAATGCTTTTTAGAGACTGGGCTAGCAGGAATCCAAATGCAAATGAGCTGGAATATCAAGAAGTGAAAAGTTTCCTTCCAACCCCTCTGCAAACTTGGATACCTGTGTTTGACTGTTTGTAATGGAATGGAGTGAGCTTCATTTTTCACTTCATCTGTCAATTCTAGTCAGTTACATTTCCAACAGCGTTAAAGTTCTGTGAACCCTTTGTTTGGGCTGTGATGATGAAGGAAGGATACTTTGTTGCCTTGTAGAAACAACAACTGTGCACGCCCTTTTATTCGTAATGAATGAAGCAGAAAACCAGCAAACAGCCGTGCAGAGATTTCCAGTTTTACTTCACATGCCTTGGAAAGGAACATCACCACTCACCCGACAGTGATATCAAATATGTTACTACCCACAGAGCTGGATACAGCCATGTCTCCCAGGCCTTTCCGAGCAACAATCACACTGGTGATGAGGTCAGGAATTGACGTGCCAGCTGCCAGGATTGTCAAACCCATGATCTCTTCAGAAATCCCTATTGTTTCGCCAACCTGGTGAACCAGTAACAGTAATGAGAAACCATGGCAAGGGCCTGGGAGAACCCACAGAGCCTTCACAGCACCAACCCCAGACTACTCTGTGCAGGGGGAGCCCCTTCCAAGGAGCTCAGTGCACACCCTCCACCTGAGCAAGGGATGGGCGGCCACAGGGGGAGAGCGAGGCCCCTGCTCATCTCCAAGTTGAACTACCAGCTCCGCCCTTGCCCGTCACTCCAACTATAGCACGTCTACCTTGCCCAAAGGGCTGCCTCTCCAAATATCTGTTTACCTCAGCATTTCCAGAAAACACAGACCTCTGCTGTTGCCAGGAACCAAATTAGAGGCCACAGACGGGTGTATGGCACAAGCCCTATTGGCAGCCGAGGGAGAGGAGAAAAGCTTGCAGAGGTTTACAGCTCTGGAAGGACGATTCCAAGCCGGACGGAAAAGCCCTGGGTACACAGACCAGGACTGGGAAGAAGATAGACAGCCAGCAAAACTGAGCTGGCTGTCAGAGTGTGAGGAGAGAGGTGCACAGCGTGACAGAAAAAGTAGGGAAGAAGGCTAATAAGTCACGATCGCTGGAGTGGAGAGGCTTTCTGTGCTAGGATGAATACCACACAAAACAAAAGCTCGGTGCCCACCACAATCAGATGTCTGTACTTTTAAACCTTTAGAATCAACGTAGAAACTACATAAATTCACTTGTTCCTTGATATTCCCTGGGTACTGGAAATTAGTCTTGAGAGGAAAAAGTGCCCTTGGGAGCTGCTGATGCAAGACTGGAGCTCCTGCCCTTCACTTACCTGGTGAGCCCACCACACCATGAGGTAGGAGAACATGGCTATCCAAATGATGGATCCCAGGAAGGTGATAACAAAAAACTTTTTAGACTCCTGTTTTAAAAGGAAGAGAAAAAAAGGCTAAAGGTCTTGGCCCTCCTGAGGGAGCCCCAGGGTCCGTGCCAAGATCTGGTGGAAGTGATGGGAGGGTCTGGAGACCAGAGTAGGACTGAGACGTTGTCTCCAGTGAGCGCCTTGAGGTGGATGGGCAAGAAGGTGAGTGCAGGGGAGTCCAGCCAGGAGGGCACTCAACAGTCACCAAACTCAAGAGCTATTTGCTTGCCCTAGATCCAGATGCATCAGGACATCTGGTTTGGCTTTTGCAATCTCACCCTGCCCCATTCTCTCTGGACCCAAAGACAGAAAATGGACTCTCTTTGAGTAGAACACGTTAGTCAGTTCCTTCTCTACAAATAGAAACACTGGGTAGGAATATCAGTATCCACCCTGGGTTTTCAGAAAATCCCATGGAAACATGATACAGTGGCATCATTCCTAAATAATAAATCAAGAATCAGGAATTAAGGAGACTAGATCACACTATTTACAGGGACACTGATTATGAGGGACAAAAGGCAACTGTGAAGTCTAGGGGCCCCCAATCCCAGTGGTATGTCACCTAGGCATGGTCTCCCTCCAGAGCTCTAGTCATGTCGCACATCCTTGCAGTGGTGGAACCCTGCCAACCTCTCCATCCCCTTGAGTATGAGCCCTGGGACCTAGAGGCCCCACAGCCCATGGACAGGCAGCCTGAGGTACAGCTGGGCACTCACCTGCCTTCGGACATCAGGCACCGTCAGCCACAGTGGGAGCACGATGGGCAGGAGGAAGAGGTAAATGGCCTGCTTCTGCCTGGTCTCAGGCCAGTCCAGGGACAGAGGCTCCTCCTTTTCCTCCTCCTCTTCCTCCTCTTCCTCCTCCTCCTCATCCTCCTCCTCCTCTTCACTATCCCCTCCGTCACTTCCCCCTTCATCATCTGCACCTTTCTCATTTTGGGCTTCATCTTGATTTTCAGCATTGACTTCCTGGGCTCCAGTTTCACCTTTGTCACCTTTCATGTCACCATCTTCTGCTTGGTTTTCACCTCCACCTTTGAGTTCATCTTCTTTTTCTTCTGTTTCAGTTTCACCTCCACTTTTCTTAGTTCCTTGTTCACCAGGAGCTTTACCCTCTTCACCTGTCATTTCACCTGTGTTCTCGGCTCCAGCAGCACCTTCCTGCAATCCAAGGCCAACAGATTAATATGTGGTGAGAGCTCTGCTTGTCCTCCTTCCCCACTCCTCCCCATTTGTGGTTTTTCTTCTTAGGCTGCATCTGAACACTTAAGTAGGAGAAAACTAGAGCAACCATTCAGCAAAATTCCCCTCCCAATATTCCTAACCATGGTGGTCTAGCTTTTTTTTAAATATTTTTTCTAATTATAGATGGACACAATATCTTTTTTAAATTTTTTTATTTGTAGATGGACACACAGTATCTTTATTTTTATGTGGCGCTGAGGATCGAACCCAGTGCCTCACATATGCGAGGCAAGTACTCTACCACTGAGCCACACCCCAGCCCCCAGCTTTTAGTTTGTCGTTTCCAGTGATGGAGATTTCACCACCTAAAACAGCTTCTGTCATCTTTGACAGTTCTTATTGGTTTGAAGCTCATGTTTGCATCAAAATTCCACACCAGCGCCACCTCTGCATGTAGGTTTACTCTTTGGAGCCATACAGAGCAAGCCTAGTGCCCGTCCAGGAGACAGCTCTCTTCTCTGGTTTAAAGATCCCCAGGTCTTTCTATCATCACCCTGCCCCTGGTGCTATAGCCTACAGACTGCTCCACAACTTGATGAACTCATTCCATTTAGCTCTATCCCAGTAGGAGGGCATCCAAAACTGAACACAGAACATACGTACAGTAGAACAAGACTACCACCTCCCTTGTCTTAGATACTTGGCCTCTATAAATGCTGCCTCGTATATAGCATGATATCCTTGGTGGTAACAACACATTGTGTAGTCTACTAGATCTCCTAAGTTGTTATATTACTTTATATAATACCTATTACTGCCCCCCCCTTTTTTTTTGGTACTGGGATCTAACCCAGGGCTTGACCACTCAGCAACATCCCTGTTGTAGATGGACACAATACCTTTATTGTATTTATTTATATTTTTTATGTGGTGTTGAGGATGGAACCCAATGCCTCACACAGCAAGGCATGTGCTGTACCACTGAGCCACAACCCCATCCCCTCTTTGTTTTTTATTTTGAGACAAGGTCTTGCTAAGTTGCTGAGGCTGGCCTCAAACTTGCAATCCTATCTCAGTTTCCCAAGTCACTGGGATTACAGATGTGTGCCCCCACACCCGACTTGTTACACATTTTTATGTGCCAGGCAACAGAATAAATGGTTTAATAATAATACCTGGCATTTACTATATTTCATGAGTCAATTCATGACATGGAATTATATTCATCTTACAGGTGGAGAAACTAAAGCTGGGATCTGAATATGCAGAGTTCAATGCTTTGACCTCTTAGCCACCAAGCTACTCTGCTTTATAAATGCCAGGCTGAATGAGACCTTTGGCTTATTAAAAACAGTTTTCCCAGCAGCACAGGAGGAGCTTATTAAAAACAGTTTTCCCAGCAGCACAGGAGGCTGAGGCAGGAGAGAGGCAAGTTCAAAGCCAGCCTCAGCAACTTAATGAAGCCCTAAGTAACTTAGTGAGACCCTAAAATAAAATATTAAAAAGGGCTGGGTTGTTGCTCAGTAGTTAAGCACCCCAGAATTCAGTGCCTGCTACCACAAAAAGAAAGAAAGATAGGCAGTTTTCCTGGTTTTATGCATCCCAACTAAATTAGAATCTCTGGAACTGGATACCAGTAATCTGAATCTGACATTTTCCCAGGTGCTAATACATTCGTCTACAGATCAGTGTTTGGGAACCATGGACTATCTCCACACTAAAAGCCACTGATTCTGAGGGTTCTCAGATTAGGTTCCCCAAATAACCTATAAGATGCTAGCTTGAGAAAGGCCTGGACTCTGTGTCTATGTCATCTCTAGCAAATGTTACAATACTGGCAACCCTCAAAGGATGTTCAGTGATTCTCAACTCTGCTGCATTTTAATATCAGCTGGAGGCATTTGAAATCGTTGGTGTCCAAGGACTCACCCTATATATTCTGACTTAATTGGTTGAGGGAGGGACCTGGGAAATTTTTTAAGCTTCCCCCAGATTATTCCATTAAACAACCAGGGTTGAGAACCTCCAGTAAAGAAGTCCATTGTTACTTACTGAGGCCTGTGCTTTAAATTAGGAATGAAGATTTTAGTCTGAAATAATTCCTGCCCTCCTTCCTCACCCACTCTCATCAGAGGGAGACTTCCTGGAGGAAATTAGTCATTTCAATCAATAGATATGGTGCTGTCTGAGAAGCCTGCACCCTCTTCTCTGAGGACTATCACCCCAAAGCTGCAGCTGAACTGGTGGCCCCCTTCTTCCATGTTGGAGTCAAGGTGCCCCACGGCTTCCTGACCATAGCTGACTGGATACAAACTGGATCATCGTCCTGGCACCTGGGTTGATCCTAAAGGCTGGGAACCTGTCATTGCTCTGGACTAGAGGGCTGGGGTGGTGGCTTAAGGTTGTGGACTGACAAGGAAAACAAAGCCAGGCCGCCAAGATAGGCTGAGTGACAGAGCATGGGCACAGAGGGGAACAGAGGGTGGGTAGCAAATAGAGCGAGAAGCCACCAGATCTAAATCCAGCTCCTTGTGAGATAAATCTCACTTTTTTTTTGTTTTCCTCCTGCAGGGCTGGGGATTGAAAGCAGGGCCTTGCACATGCTACGCAAGTACCCTACCTCTGAGCTGCATCCCCAGCCCTTCTTGTCTTCTGAGACAAGGTCTCGCTAAGTTGTCCAGGCTGGCCTTGAATTTGCAATCCTCCTGCCTCAGCCTCCCAAGTAGCTGGGATTATAGGCATGTGACACCTTGCCCAGATCCAAGCTTTACTCCCTGAACTGAGGTTCCAGAGACACCTCTGTGCCCTCTTAATCCTTTTTACTTGAGCCAACCATATTGGGTCTCTTGGAACCTTCATGATAGTATGAAAATGTCTCAGATGCTGGGCCCTAAACTGCTGGATTATGAAAGAGATATAATTGAGTACTTTGGGATAGGAAAACAGATGGAACTTGCAATCAATATTTATTTACTATAAGTCTCTTGACCTATATTGAGCATAGCTGGATGTTAGGCATTATATTTCCCTCTCGTGTGGCAACAGAGAAGACTCAGACGTGGATCCTGCCTTCAGTAACCTCACCACTAGTACGGACTAAGAAAGACCAAAAATGCAAGGCAGACAGTGATAAGAGCCTCAAGACAGGCACACAGCACCATGGACATTCAGATTTGGGGACATGGAGGAATCTTCATAGCAGAGGAGGTATTTACAACTGGGCCTGGAAGAGTGGGCAAGATGAGGCTATCTAAAGATGGAGAGGGAATGGCATTCTAGAGCGAGGAAGCCATGTGAGCCAAGGTGTGGAGCAGAAAAACATGGAGGCAAGAAATTCAGTTTGGTCAGAGCATGGTGGAAGAAGAGTTGTCAAGACAAAGCTGTGTCAGAATTCGAGACCCTGCGGCTGAGGCTGAGGTGTCTGGCCAAGTGCACAGGCAGTGAGGAGGCTGGGAGGTCCCCAGGCTGAGGGTCACCAAGCTGAATGCTGTCCCACCGCATTCCAAGATGTCTGGTGTTCTGAGCCACCTGGTCTCACTGTTCCCTAGATGCCAATAAACTCACTAACAATTCTTTGTGTTCTCGCAGCGCATGGCGCTCACAGTACATTCTTTTTTTTTTTTAACTTATTTTGATTTTTTTAGTTGTTAATGGACATTTGTTTTATTTATTTTTATGTGGTGCTGAGAATTGAACCCAGTGCCTCACACATGCTAGGCAAGCACTCTACCACTGAGCCACAACCCTAGTTCACAACAGCACATTCTTGTACATATCACCTCACTCATATTGAGATGCTAACAGTAAATTTACTGGCTACATCAGGTTTTTGAGGTTTTCAAGTGACTTCAGAGAAGAGTGAAGAATGAAACTCAAATAGAATTTCAGACCTTCAGGAAGGAACTATCTTTGGCTACAAAGTCCTTCCCTGGGCTTCTTAAATCCCTCACTGGTGCAGAGGTTGGGCACCAACCTGACCACCAGGATTCTCCTCCAGATCTCCCTTAGTGTCTGGAGTTGGGGCTGGTGTGACCGTGACCACAGGGAGCTCAGCTGGTGGCTCCTCTTTAAAGGATAAACATGGGTTAAGTCAGAAGAGTGGACCAGGTTCTGGGGGCAGCTGCAGACACTGGTGGGAGTGGCTGCAGGGTTATTGGAGAGAGTGGTCTCTGAAGGTTTGTTGGGGGAAATTTCTTGTTGGTAGGAAAAGTAAGATGATGTGCATTGTTCTTGCCCTATCCCCTGAGATACCTGCAGATGAGAGGTATTCATAGACATTTCCTGGCCATCGTGGCCAAGGATGCTGTGAACAGCTCGAGCAGTTGAAGCAGAGAGAAGGAGGGCACTCTCAGCACTCAGGCTCTAATCCTCCGGAAAGGATCTTGCTGATTTCAAGACACGTTAAAGCCATGGAACAGGATTGAGTGGAGGGAAACAGAAATTCTGGAGAGCTAATAGTTTAGGTAAGGTTCTCTCACATCTTGACTGTGTGGCTTTGGGCAAGTCCCTTGACCTCCCTGAGCCTGCATAGCCTTTCCTACAGAATGGGAAGAATGCTGCTCTACCTTCCTCCCAGGGTTTCAGAGTGGACCAGACAGACCTGGTGTGCAGAGGCCACATGGCAGTAGCTGTCCCACTTCCTTCATCTTGGTCACCACACAGATGCTGGATGTCTGTGTTATCAGACCCCTAGTGGCCTTCCCTCATCCAGCAGAGCCTTCCCTCTCTCTCTGGGGCTGCTGATTTCACATCAATCACTAATAACCCTATCCTTAGGTAGAAGTAATAGGAAGAAGACATAGGTAAGATTTAGCAAAAAAGGAATGGGAGTCCATGGGGCTTGGGCTGTAGCTCAGTGGCAGAGGGCTTGCCCAGCATGTGGAAGGCTCTACGTTCCATCCTCAGCACCACATAAAAATAAACAAATAGAATAAAGGCGCCCCGTCCATCTATAACTACCAAAAAAAAATTAGAAA